AGTTAGTTGGTTATGTATTTTTTAAATAAAAAAAAAATTTTGAATTTACTTACTTGTAGCTGGAGTTAGAGGCGGTCAGATACTTATGACCGCTACTGTATGCTATTACACACACAATGAATATATAAGTTACGGTTTTAGTGTATATAGCATAGCAGGCTTTAATCTGATTGGCTGATCTCAAAATGATCATCACATATTAAATTTCATATGAAAAAATGATGATTAGTCTTTAAATGGATTCGCAGTCATAGGGATGAATTCGCAAGGGTTGAGACAAAAAAAATTCTAAAGCATACCTTTCATTTTATATACTGTTAAAGTAATTTAGTAAAAGGAGAGGTAATTCAGAACTTAGCTAATAAAGATTTTATACTAATTTTCTTTATAAAAGTCATTTTTTATTAAAAAAAAAGAATACAGGTAAAATGTCTATTCACCACAAAGATACACCTTTTTCTGACGAGAAAAAAGGAAAAAGAAAGACTTGACAATGTGATTTAGAGGGCCAGGATGACATTATCTGTGATTATGAACAACATGGCACATCAATTATATCTAAACAAATAGTTATATCAAGCTCAAATCAACATTTAGATTTAGTTGGCAAGGCTTTATGTCGAAAACATTATAACAAATTAATTGTAAATGCAAAAAAGAAATCAAAAACTTATGTATACTTTCATTTAAAGCATGAGTCTTATATATCTAAAGCTCAACGTGATACAAAAGAAAAGAAATTCAAAAAAGCTCCAGAATAATTAATTAGATTTTTGAATTATCATATGGAGTAATGATGTGTCATCACTGTTTGTATAAAACTGACAACGATCCAGAATATATTAACTTGCCTAATTATATGCCAGCAATCGAAAAGATTTCAAAGGAGAATATAAGAAATTTTCAAGATAGGGCATATATATTACAAAATGATATTATTTACTCTCAGTCTGAATTTCAGAAACTAGAGTCTGAATATCATGAAGTATATGTAGAGCTTGACAAAGCAAAGATAGGTAAGTAAATAAATTTTATTTTTATTACATTTTTGATTGCTTAGAAAAGTTCTTCAACTGCCATTATAACTGAATTAACATGCGAAACTTATAATTATTCTTTAGTGTTAATTCCTCTCAATAAAAAAATCAAACTAATGTCAGGAGTTTATATACAAGACAGTGTGTATTTAACGAAAGGCCTATTCTTAATCCAGAAGAGTTCAAAAACATGCTTGAGAAAGCTAAACTGTCATTAAATGGTTTTTTTGATCAATTGGTAGCCAGAACTAACCTACAAGCCAAAAGTTATATGACTAACGAGAAAATAAAAAAAGATTAGTTTTATTTTGTTATTTTCTTGCAGGACTTAATAATAAGTTTATTAATGGAGTTAAGGCAAAAGTTGGACTTTTATTAGACTAGTCTGAAACATCTTCATCAATGATAGAAACCTTAGCTGGTGTAGGCTTAACAGTAAAATGTAAAGCTATTGCAAGACAAAAGGCTCAGCATGCAGAAGTGCACACGGTGACAGTAGGAAAGTTTTTATTAGACAATGTAAGTATATGAATATTTTATTAAGTTTTATAATTTGTAAAAATAACCAGCTAATATATGTAACTTATTCACAGATAAGAAGCCTGGTTGTTCTTAATATAGATGATTTTCACAACATTCATGAGTACCGTCGTAGTGATATAACAACTACACATGAAGTTTCTCATTTTATTATAATACTTCTAAAAGTCTTGCCAGAAATAGCTTCTATTCCATTTTACAATTCTAATCGAGAAGGAAGTGAAGGGAATCTTCATAACCAAAGGGGTATTGATGAAAAAATTATTATACAAAATGCTCATATATATTTCTTTCCCTATTTATGGCTTAGTTATATAGGACGAAAACAAGCATTTGCTGGTTTAACGCTTCTATCAGAGACACATGATGAATGAGTTGAGCATCTTTTAATTCACAATTATGATGATTGAATTGAACAACGTTGAATTGATCAGAGCATGGAGAATACAAAGTTAATTGATCTAAAAGAGGGTTCCCTTCATTCTACTAGTAATTATATAGAGGCTGTTAAACATATGATAGACAATCCCGAATTAAGAGATTATATGAAAATGCAAGCATTAGTTGCACCTATAGACTATCCTGAACAATTACACATACGCTGTGCCATCAACTATCATATCAAAGTTAGAGATTCTTCTGAAATACCAGAACAAATTTTGCATATCGTTCTGATGATTGGCCCTCTGCATATATCTTTAAATGTTCGTGAAACTGTGTTTCTTACCAATTATAAGTTTTTTGACAAGCTTTTTCACGAGGTATTTGGGCATCAGAAGGTATTGGCACAAAAGCTAAAACCTTACAAAATTAGTTTGATACTTGAACTTGCATCTCAAGGCTGGTCTCGTATACGTTTAATTATTCTGCAGAAATTTGAACAGTCCAAAGATCTGAAAGTCTGATATCTCATCAATTTGCTAGATAACATCCTCCCATTAGTCTTAGATTTCTATCCTGTTATATTTCATAGTGGAAATTGGAAGGCATACAGAGAGGCAATATTTCGTATTTAGGTTATTTTTTTTCAATATAATCGTAGACACTATAACAAATTGCTATTAGCATTTTTAAGTAATGTTTTCTACTGGTCTAATACTAATCATCCTATTTCGCAAGTTTTTTCAGATTTTCTTCATGTTTTTAATGATTATTATGTGAAAAATTTTCATAGTTCACTTCGACGACAAATACAGAAATCAAATATAGCTGAACAAATTATTCAATAGGCACGAGTAATCGATCAGATGCGTGGTAGCAACTCTTTTACAGATGCATTTTTTGAGGATCACAACATTAGATATTCAGCAAAACAGCTAGAATATCTTGAAAAACAGACTGCGCTTTTCTTACTAAATTTTTTTACAGGTGTCCATCAAAATCTTGGCAAATCGAAAGTTGTTTATCTGATGCACATTCAAAATCCAAATTATACGAATTTCCGACTCTTGCAACTCAAGTCGATATTAAAATATTAGCAATGGGTTGGAAGACGACACATCCTTCTCGAGAAGATAGGTATTGTGACTTGAAAGGCTGTATAGACTCATGTAAAGTAGGTTGCATTTTAATTTGTGAACACGCTTATCATTTTGAGTGTTATTTATTTAAACTAAGAAGTCAATGCCAATATTGTACTGATTATCTTGTGAGGGGAATTGAAAAAAATTGTCAGAGTTATCAGAAGACTCTGACTTCATTTAACAAATTGGCCACAGATGAAAGTATAAATGAAATGGATGTTACTGAACCCATTGATGATACTAATATTAGTAACGAAGATTTTTCTTTAGATAATAATATAGATCTACTTTTCAAAAGGGCTGTGAATGCTTTAACAAATATATAATTTAGGAATTATTATGCATGTATAAGCGATAAAGACATAAAATAATAGTTTTAGTTTAATATTTTAATGTATTTTTATAAATAAATAATAAATAAAAAAATTCAATTTTATAAAATTATCTTTATTAAATATCTTTTTTTCATTTGGGCTAAATATCATATTAAATGTTTTGATTAACTATTTTTCTTTTGATTACCTATTTTTTTCTTTTGATTAATTACTTTTCGATTTGATCGATGTTAAATCACGTGATTTTATCAGCCAATAGAATTTCAACAATAATAAAAAATGATCTGCAAAATTGACCAATCACAATGAAAGCCCGCTATGCTAGTGTATATATATAACAAAAAAAAAACTACAGGATTAGGAACCATGTCGGTCAAACTTGATAAAGAACTTAAGCTTAATGCGGAAATAACGTTTGCTTCATCCACTACGAAGGAAGTTTTAGGTACTGTGAAGTTGGTTTTCTTCTGAAGAAGACTCTCACCCATCACTTCTAGAAGGATTTTTGAGGAAGCTTTCACCCTTCCCTCCGAGGAAGCTTTTCACCCTTCCCTCCGAGGAAGCTTTTTCACCCTTCCCTTCGAGGAAGCTTTTTCACCCTTCCCTCCGAGGAAGCTTTTTCACCCTTCCCTCCGAGGAAGCTTTTTCACCCTTCCCTTCGAGGAAGCTTTTTCACCCTTCCCTTCGAGGAAGCTTTTCACCCTTCCCTTCGAGGAAAGCTTTTCACCCTTCCCTTCGAGGAAGCTTTTTCACCCTTCCCTTCGAGGAAGCTTTTTCACCCTTCCTTCGAGGAAGCTTTTTCACCCTTCCCTTCGAGGAAGCTTTTTCACCCTTCCCTTCGAGGAAGCTTTTTCACCCTTCCCTTCGAGGAAGCTTTTTTGAATTTTGACTAATAGTCCGTCTTATTTTTCTATTTTTAGAAACTCCTAAATATACAAGTACGTGTTGTGGACATGAAGAAAAGTCGGTGATGTTTATAGGGTGCATAAAACAGATTAAACCGGAAGGACTTGAAAAGTGGCTGAGAGAAGTTACACCAGTTGCGTTTGTTCATATCATTAAGAAACCCTTTAACGGGAAGTACATATTAATAAATATGACGTTGAAGGGAAATTCTAACTAATGTCTTTTTTAGATATGGACACCTGCACTTTAACTCCTATCAAGAATCAAGCGCGTTCTACAATCTAATGAAAGACGTCGTCAAAGATGGGCCATACGGTGAAATCCGATTCATTGCGTCGCAATATTTCTCAACTAAAATACAAGTAGTTTATATGAAGGTAAACTATTTTTTACTCTTCAGATAGTTGATATCGTTTTAATATTTTATTTACTTGGACATTTAGAATACATTTACTAGTAGTGAAGGCAGAAAAAGAAAACTAATCGAAATTGAGAACAATGAAAACAACAGGCAACCTTTAAACCTTCCATATGATCTTTATGAAACCGAGTTAGTATTGTTGACTTAGCGAGTTAATATTGACATGAACTAATAATTTATGTTCAATTTTCTTTTCGGTATTGCACTGTAGACAAGAGTTTATTATTGTCATAGACACTCCGAGTGTTAAAAATAAGGGTGAAATTTCAATCTCCGTCCGAAAAGATCATATCATCAATATCAAAGGAAATATCTCTCGTGATACTATTCCTGGAAAACAGCTTGAGAGTCAAAATCCACTTCCCTTTGGAAAATTCGACGTCAAAGTTAATTTACCGACAAAGTAAGTTATAGCTCAAAATATCACGTCTAGCACTTTTTAATTCTAACGTGATTTTTTTAATAATTAGTATTGACTCCGAGGAGTCAACAGACGTAATCGTTGAAGCTGGTGTAACCACAATAATGATAAAAAAGGAAGTTGTAATGAATTTGAGGATATCGTAATTATACATAAATATGTTTCCTTGCTGTATTTGCTAAGAAAAAAACTCGAAATATACAAATTAATAGTTATACCTAGCATAACTTTCATAATTATATAATAATAAAGTTGTGTATGATCAATGTAGAAATTATAGAAGGGTTTTCCACATTCCATATTAGATTGGCTTTCCATGCTTATTCGATAAATAACTATACTTTTTTATAGCACTTGTAAATTCCACAATATTATTAGCCTATTTCGGTAGATGCAACCAGAGATTTTTTTCAAACCATTTTTTTACGATTGATAGAAAATAGTTTACCAAGTTCCGAGGTACCAATTTTTCGGTTCTCTCGACATATTAATTAATTTGTTTTGAGCTCGACATCCCGTCCACTCAATCAAAGATTTCGTAGTGAATATGAAAGAAGATCCGGGAAAAAAATTCTTCTATCTGAAACTTTAATCGACTACGAGCGAAGTAATTCTGTCTACTGGATCACCATTTCTGCATTTCGATAATTTCGATAATAAAATTTTTATACAAGTATTTAAAAAAATCACGTGTTTTTCTTGACGCGAAATTTAGTTTATCAGATAATCGAATTATACGCATTATTATAAAAGATTAATGCCTTGAGAATTGAGATCCGTTTTATTGATAAATTCCTGAATTTCCTTGATTCTTTTAGGAATAACAATCTCCGGTTTTTCATCATACATATGCATCTTTTTAGCCAATCACGATTAACGACGTCCTCAAATTTTTTGACATCTTTATACCAGCTAGTGTTATGAAGCCTCTAGTTTCATAATTCTTTCTAAGAGTTCAGCATGCTCCCGCCTCAACTTTGTGCTCTTAGCCTTGAAATTCTCAGATTCCAACTCCTCCATTCTTGCTTTGAGTTTGGCACTTTCAGCATCATGACTTGCTCTTTCTTTCTCAGTCAATCTTGGGTCTCGGCAATCCTATGTTTAAGTTCAGCTCTCTCAGCATCAAACTCTGAGATCTTTCTTCTAAGATCAGGTATTCAGCATTCTCGGCCTCAAGCTCTCTAATACGCTGTCTTAATAATTCAAGCTCTGACGACATGATCTATATTTAACTAATACATTGTATATAAGCATTCAAAAAAAAAATATGTATTTTTGCCAGGACCTCGGCTGAAATTTGCCAAGAAAATTTTTTATTAATAAATGCGAAAAATAAATACAAAGTTCAGGACATAGCCCATGATACATATTATTTTTTGATTAATTTTTTGATCCTAGCTCTCTTGCTAGATGGAGAACTATCTACACTAACCCTATCCTTTAATAGCCTAACAATTATACCTATTACCCTTTTTACGTTGTTTTGAAGTAACTCAGGATTTTCTTTGACAGCAGACTTCATGAGATTAATTTGGTATTCGCTACCACTTATAGAGAAGATACCATCTAGAGTATATATGATAAAGTGCCACTCTGTACCTGTAGTCACAATACCATAGATATAGTCAAAATAGTCATTCCTGAATGCTTGATCTGCAGTTTGTTTTTTCTTATTTGTTTGGAATGCACTTTTAAGTTGTGCTAGATTCTAAGAAATAAACTATCATTAATATCGTTTGCTATGCAAATAAGCAAAAATATGGATAGTAGACCTACCTGCGCATATCTAATCTTAATATTTCATGATTTTTCTTCAGTGATGCAAAGAAGATCTTCTAGACTTTTAATTGTATAGTCCACTTGACCTATTGCATTCTCACCAGAAACATCCTTTTGAAACACTATAAATATATCTTGGAAGGTAAGTTTTAGCTATAGCGATGGATGCATAGAGAATCAATAAAATAAATTCATAGCGTGTTGCTTCGTTAACATCGGTCATGGTCTTCACGTTCGAAAGCTTTAAGATAATGTCCTTTATACAATATTCGAATGCTTTATCATTATCACTAATCTCCTCAAAGACTATAAAGAAAAATAAAGTTAATATAGCTATCTGGGTTAGCTTTGCTAACAAATTAATTAATTACCTACTAGAAGTAAACTGATTGATGTTTAATATATCTTTCCCATTGACCTTATTTTTATGTAACATTTTCTTCAAGTCATCGAAAGATTTAAGTGAAGAATAGTTTCTTATTTTTTGATCAAGACTCTCAATGAATTCTGCGAGAACTGTTGCTAGACTTAAAGCAAAGCTAATATCGCAAAAGTTTTCTTTAGTTAACTTGAGAAAAGCTAAACCAGCAATTTTTTCTTTGCGTAAAATTTTAAAGTGAGACTCCTTGAACTTCAGGTCTTTCCTTCCCAAATAATTAATAAGCTCCTCTGTATTAAAATCCTTAATCACGTCTGACATTGTTCTAGTGAAAATTTCTTTCATTATTGAGGTAGGTGAAGCGAATGAAAAAGCTTGTGAAGACATGATTTTTATATATGTAGGTTTGTGTTTGCGAAAAAATATGCACTTGACTGCAGTTACAGGTAAAACTGGTTTATGGATAAAAAAGTATTTTAATTTCTGAAGTAAAGTGCTTAGAGAGAAATGATAGATTTTTTTGTATCGATTCATAATGTATTTGCCCAATATATATGCAATTAAGATGTAATACAAGATTATCATGTGATTATATTACATCATTACACGTGACCCTTTTCAAGATTTACGACAAGAACATAATATATGCTTTATTTAAAAAATAAAAAAACCTTGCCAGAAGCTGACTTATAATACATAAAAATTGCGACTATATCGCTACATGATGCAAATAAAAAATTACTATTTATTCTTAGATTTTATAAGAATGTGAATTTGATCTAAAACAAGAGGCTTATCGAAATATTTAGAGATCTCTTCAGTTAATTCTATGAGTTTATCTTCCTTAGGATCATTTACGTAAAGGTCGAAGTTGAGGGAAAGAGCTTGGTAACCTTGATTTACTAATAGAGTTTTAATAGTAAATTTGAGAATAGTGATTTTATCTTCCTTGCAGGGTGAGATTATGTAACTTATTTTATCCTCACCATTCTGGAGGCAACACTTAAGATTAACAATACTCTTGTTATGCCAGTTCTTTTAGATCGCGGGTAAATCACCTATAATATCACAGTTTAGCAGAAGGTTTCCTTCACATGGAAGAGTAAAGATAAAGATACGAGATAAGAAATTAAAGAGAATTACGATAAACTGAGTGAGATATGTACAAATAATTATTTAATAAACAAAAGACTAGTACTGTCTCTGTTGGCGCGTCTGTACTAAACAGTTTATTTATCAAAAAAATTATTCAAGACAAGACAGTTCTTATCATTTTTACATCGATGAATTACTCCTATTTATATAAAAATATTCACTAATAACGATAAAATACATAAAATATAGAAAATAGATAAAATAAATAAAATAAATATAATAGATAAATGACATAAAC